CCCTGCGTGTCGCTTCGGGCCGCTGCTGACTCAAGCGTGTCTGTTTCGAGCTCCCCTGGGTGTCGCTTCGCCCCGCTGCTGTCTCAAGCGTGTCTGTTTGGAGCCTTCCTGGGTGTCGTCTTAGGAGAGGAGCTCAGGAGAAGAGCTCTGGGGCGTCACGAGCTCACGGGATCACGGACTCACGGGCTCAAGGACTCACGGACTCACAGGCTCAGCGGCTCACGGGTCACGGGCTCACGAGATCACGGGCTCGCGGGCTCGCTGGCTCGCGGGCTCACGGGGTCACGGGCTCACGGGCTCACGGACTCACGGGCTCACGCGCTCGCGGGCTGGCTCACGGGCTCACGCGCTCACGGGCTCACGCGCTCACGTGCTCACGACCCTCGCGGGCTCGCGCGCTCCCGGGCCGAAGAACTCCCCGGCTCCCGGGCCCCCGGGCTCACGGACTCACGGACTCACGGGCTCACAGGCTCACGGGCTCACGGGCTCGCGGGCTCACGGGCTCGCGGCCTCCCGGGCTCGCGGGCGCCCGGGCCCAAGGACTCGCGGACTCACGGGCTCGCGGGCTCACGTGCTCAGGGGCTCACGCGCTCACGGGCTCACGACCCTCGGGGGCTCACGCGCTTCCGGGCTTCCGGGTTCCCGAGTCCCGGGATCGAGTTTGGAATCTCGAATTTACTTACGCTCTGGGAACGCGTCTGCGAACGCGTGAAAACCTCTCACGCGCGGCCTGGAAAGGAGTCTCGGGGATATGGTGGGTTCACCGCCGTGGGAACGATGCTCTGGGAGCTCTGAGCGCGCGAGCGCCGAGAGAACCCTCTGGCTAGTGCTTCGGGCCGCGCACGAGGCGCCAGAGACTTCTCCGGGGAGTGCTTCGGGCCGCGCACGAGGCTCCCGAGGATGCTCTGGGGAGAGCTCTGGGGGAGAGCTCTGGGAGAGAGCCCTGGGGGAGAGCTCTGGGGGGGAGCTCTGGGGGGGAGCTCTGGGGGGGAGCTCTGGGGGGAAGCTCTGGGGGGAGAGCTCTGGGGAGAGCTCTGGGAGAGCTCTGGGGGAAGCTCTGGGGAGAGCTCTGGGGGGGAGCTCTGGGGGAGAGCTCTGGGAGAGAGCTCTGGGGGAGAGCTCTGGGGGGGAGCTCTTGAGGAGAGCTCTGGGGGAGAGCTCTGGGGGGGAGCTCTCGGGGAGAGCTCTGGAGGGAGCTCTGGGGGAGAGCTCTGGGGGAGAGCTCTGGGGGGAAGGTCTGGGGGGGAGCTCTGGGGGGGAGCTCTGGGGGAATGCTCTGGGGGAAAGCTCTCTCTGGAGAGCTCTGGGCGAAAAGCCGAGCGGTATGTCGGGGCATCCGGCTGAGGGTTGGGGGTTATCATTCTGCAAGCGAAGCACCGCCCCGGGCCGGCAGGCCTATGGTCGCGGTGAGCTCGACTTGCAGCTCGCTCTCACTAGCAGATCCTTACAGGCGTGGCGGTGCGCGCCCCCAGGTCCGCGCCTGCAGTTTAGGGCTAGGGCTAGGGTTTAGGGTTTAGGGTTTAGGGTTTAGGGTTACGGTTAGGGTTAAGGGTTAAGGGTTTAGGGTTAGGGTTTAGGGTTAGGGTTTAGGGTTTAGGGTTAGGGTTCGGGTTTAGGGTTTAGGGTTAGGGGTATGGTTTGTGTTGAGGGTTAAGGTTTAGGATTCGGGTTAGGGTGAGGGTTTAGGGTTAGGGTTCGGGTTTAGGGTTAAGGTTTAGGGTTCAGGTTTTAGGGTTAGGGTTAAGGTTTAGGGTTAGGTCATAGGGTTTAGGGTTACGGTTAAGGTTTAGGGTTAGGGTTAGGGCTAGAGTTAAGGGTTAGGGTTAGGGTTAAGGATTAGGTTGTAGGGCTTAGGGTTAGGGTTAGGGTTTAGGGTCAGGGTTTAGGGTGTAGGGTTTTGGGGGTTAGGGTTTAGGGTTAGGGTTAGGGTTTAGGGTTTGGGTTTAGAGTTTAGGGCTAGGGTTTAGGGTTTAGGGTCAGGGTTGGCGTTGAGGTTAGGGTTTAGGGTTAGGGTTAGGGTTTAGGGTGTAGGGTGAGGGGTAGGGTTGAGGTTAGGGATTAGGGTTGAGGGCTAGGGTTAAGGGTTCAGGTTTAGAGTTTAGGTTAGGGCTAGGCTTAGTGTTAGGGTTTGGGGTCAGGGTTAGGTCTACGGTTAGGGTTTAGGTTTCGCGTTAGGGATTAAGGATTAGGGTTCAGGGTTTGGGTTAGAGGTTAGGGTTTCGGGGGGGTCGGGCGGGGTGGTAGGGATGGGGTTCCGGAGCCGGGGCGCGAGCCGGGGAAAGGGGGGGTGGGGGACGACGGTTCGGGAAAAGGGGGGGGGGGGGTCGCCGACGACGGCTCGGGCAAGGGTGGGGGGGGGGGGTCGCCGACCACGGCTCGGGCAAGGGGGGGGGGGGTTCCGAACCCCCCCCCCTTTGGGTGATCCAGCGGCGCGCCCTCCCTCCACCTCTCCGAGGGAGTAGAGCTCAGAGGCGATTCATGCGCACGCGTCCGCGATTTTTCTGGGCGTTTCGCTCGGGACATCCTCGAAATTTGCGAAAATCGGTGGCACCCCTCACGCAGATCGTGACGTCAGGGTCCAAAACACACATGGGAATTTCAACATTTTAACATAAAACCTTCAACAACACATGGTAATTTCAATAATTGTGACCCCGATTCTCAGGGAATGGCGGTTTCGCTTGAAAAATCAATCCAAAATCGAGCCCCAGACCCCGCCTCGGAGCCTCCTGGGGGCCTCCTGGAACCTCCTGGGGCCTCCTGGGGCTTTCTGAACCTTCTGGCACCCCAGACCCCGCCTCGGAGCCTCCTGGGGGTCTCCTGAAACCTCCTGGGGCCTCCTGGGGCCTCCTGCGGCCTCCTGGAGCCTCTTGGGGCCTCCTGAAGCCTCCTGGGGTCTCCTGGGGCCTCCTGAGGCCGCCTGGGGCTTCCTGGGGCCTCCTGGGGCTTCAGAACTACATGCACACAGAGACACAAATCACGCCCAACACATCACACGCTAGACAAACATAACACACACACACACACACCACCTACAACACACAAAAAGCACGCACCACACAAAGCATACATCACACACACACACACACACGCACAACACTCACAATCCTGGGGCCTCCTGGAGCCTCTTCTGGTATCCAAGTCGGGCCTCCTGAGGCTTCCTGGGGGGCCCTGGTACACACATCGCAAGGTGTGGCAAGCCCACTTGCGCTCGAGTGCGACTTCCATGTTGCATTTCACTCCTGCTTCAAACGCCCCTTCAGTTTTTTGTACGAGCCTGGGCACACACGTGCCACTTGTGTAAATATATATATATATATATATATATATATATACCTGGGGGTGAGGCCAAGGGCCCAAGGACAGGTGCCCCGACCCCCCATGGCGGGACCGGGGCTCATTTTCCTTGTGTTTTTAAAAGGTTTCCGCGTCCTGGGCCTCGGAGGCCGCTGCCTCCGACCTCCCATGGGCGGACGGGGCGGCCGGGGAGGTCCAAAATAGTTCAGGAGGGTTTCCAGAGGCTCCCAAGACGGCCCAAGCGGGCCCCGAGTCCCCGAAAGACCGCTCCAGGACGCCCAAGATAGGCCCAAGACGGCCTGAGAGGCCCCCCAAGGCACTCCACGACGATTCAAGACGCCTCTCCAGAGCGCTTCAAGAGGCCGAAATCGTCAATTTTACTAAGGTTTTCGAACGATTTTGGCCTTCCAGCCTTTTCGGCTGTCCGACGTTCCAAGACGGCTCAATAGGCCCCCAAGAGCGCCCCAAGACGGCCCAAGATGGCCCCAAGACGGCCCCAGAGTCGCCCAAGACAGCCCAACAGAGCCCCAAGACGGCTCCAAGATGCGCCCAAGAGGGGGACCACGACTCGCGGATCGAGGGGCCGTGTTCATGTACATAGCTGGGCGCGTACGTCCTTTGTGGGCTCCTTACCTAGGGTTGCCGAGGTTGCGTCACGCTGTCGCCCTTGCGCTTGGGGTGGGGGTGGGGTTGCCTAGGTTGCGCCATGTCGCCGTCCGTGCCGCCTCGCCCGAGGGTGCGTTGGGGGTACGCTGGGGGCTTCTCCAAGCGGTTGAGATGCTTGACGTTTCTGCCCCGTGTTGGTCCTCCTGGGAATTTCTGGTGACCTTTGGAAATCACGGGTCACCTCTGGGGGAGGAGGAATGAGCTTGATGGTCAATGTGATCGCGTTACTGTGCGCCTCACGTTTTCCTTTCCTGCTCTCTCTTCGCTCCTTCGCTTGAGATTTCCGCTCCACGTGGTGGATGATCTCCATGTGGTGATCAGACTAGATAACCACTTCTAGCTTCTACAAGGCAGTGGCATTGTCAATGGACATCTCGATCGACAAGGGACAGGTGCGCCCGAAGTAATGGGAGCCTCCAGAACATGCGTTCGAGAGTACTGGCCAGTTTTTGTTCACCAGGTGGATCATGCCACTGGCGTTGTCGTCTCATGATGTCTCTGGTGTCATGGACCCTGGAAGGCTCTGGCGTCGTGATCGGTGTCGTCATGGTCGGCGTCGTGTGGTCGTGTTCGGAGGTATCCTTCGAAGAAACATTGTCACAACCATGAGTTATCGGAGATCCAGACAGCTTTCTTTGGCTGGCGCTGAGGGCGGGAAGGCTGGGAGAAGGAGTAGGAGAAGGAGGGAGAGGAGGAGCAGGAGGTGGGGCAGGAGGTGGAGGAGGAGGGGAGAGGGGAGGAGGACCGCGCGCTCTCTGGAGGGAAAGGAGAAGATGGGACGAGGAGGAGGAGGAGGAGGAGGAGGAGGAGGAGGAGCAGAGAGGAGCAGGGAGGCTCACATGTCATGGCACATTAAGCCACGAGAGGGGATCCCAGCAGCCAGCGCTCAATGCGTATCACCCGGCTTCGATGTAGTCAAGTGCAGCAAAAGGTCAAGTTAATACCCGATGGCGTCGAGTCCGGCGGAGAAGCAGGCGGAGGCGGAGGCGGGAAGAGGAGGTCTCGTCGTTTCCGTTCCCGCATGGCCTATTCGCCAGGAGCAGTTGGCTGCACCCGTCCCGGCGCCGGCGCCCTCTGCGGCGCCCCCCGCAGCAGGACCGGCGGCCCCGGCGATCTCGTCCTAGCAGGGAGAAGCGGGCCCCTGGAGGAGGATCGATCGACACGATTGAGGATAGGCATTGACGGAGAAAATTGGGGACTGCGACCAACAGCCGTCGCTGGTTGTGTCGCCGCTGAGGTTGCCCAGTTGAGACACAAGATTGCCTGCCCCACAGCAGCCGCTTGCGGGTTTAGACACATTTGATGCTGGGTACCGAACCCAGTTTCTCCGTGCACATCTCGGATGTGCCACATGGAGGCACGTTTGTCACGACAGAATTTGTTTATGTTCACAGCTGGGGCCCTGACTCTAACAGATGCCGCACTGGCCGCGACGATGCCCCATCAGCTGCGCAAATATAATTTTTAGCGTCAGCCTCATGTTCGTTGATCTCCACCTTGTAAATCGTATAGTCTTGTAGCGTCAATCCTGGCAGGACCCTTCGGCAAACAGAGCGAGACACAGCGAGCGTTACGTGTTGGCAGGATCCTTCTCTTCGTTTGCAAGATCCTTATTCTAGTGTCCTGTTCGGGGGCCTTTCGGAGAATGGCACTCGTCGCAACGGCCAGGCGCGGCTCTAAAAGTAGTGCAGTGTGGGCTCCGAGAGGGGTCCAGGGATTGGCGCCAGACAGAGTCTGAGGGCTCAGCATGAATCGACTGTGATCCTGAAATTGAGCTTCGTGTTTTCTGGCAAAATGAGAAGCGACATGACACAATTTGTCGGAGGTCCGCGCGGACCTTCGACAGTCCATTTTTCTGCATCGCTTGTTCCCCCCTCCTCCGGGCCGGCCCCAGGACTGTCTGGCTCCATAATTGAAGCTATTATCTTGAGGCCTTCAGCGGACTGTCATCATGTCATCTTGGACTCCTCTTCCCATTCTTTTTGGTTCTTGAGCCTGTTGGAGTTCCTTTGAGGCGATTTTGAGGGCCGGAAGGCGGCCCTCAGGAGTTCGGCATCCGTGTCCTGAGCATCTCGGGGTACAGGCAACCCGCAGAGTAAGGATCGGCAACCTTTCCAAGGGCACCATTGCATCCTTGCCTCCTCGGTCCATCCTTCGCCGCTTTCGCTGGCCGCGCTTCGCTCGGAAAGCTTCGAAATGGGCGCCCAAGCCCCTCGCATCCTTATCGCGCATCCTAACTATACTGGTTGACTGTAGTTCTTGACCTGGGCCCCCCAGAGGCTGGCACGCGCACGCGAACTAGCACAATCAGATCCTCTTACCAGAGATCTCAGCACGTCTTTTGCCCGTTGCACCGGCGACTCGTTTCATCCAACCATTTGGTCCTGATTCGGTTCTCTTGATTGAAGAATACCCCAACGACGCTCGCATCCTATCTATTTGCTTAGTCAGTGGAAGTGTGGAACCAGTGCTCCTACTGCGTCGTGTGGACCCTGGGCTACTACAACGGCTCTCGCATTAGACCTCCTCGCAGTTTGTGCTGGAGTCTCGTTCTCACTGTAGGCTCCAAGGCAATTCGCTCAAGAATCGCGCTCTCGCATAAAACCTCTCCGCAATTCACCCAGAAATTGTGCCCCCACCTTTATGGAATTCTGCCCTCGCCTGGGGCAGCACCCTTATTACTGAGGTCGCCCGCGAGTGCGCCCGTGAGTGCTCGAAGTTATTTGCGCTTCGCGGTTCGCAGACTGCTCCCCTCATCCTCGTTCTCCGCTATCTTTGACGTCCTCCTTTTCTACCCCACGAGGGTTGAGGGACGCGAAAGCGCGAAACTTGAAGCGCTTCACGGCTCGCGCAGCGCGAGACGCCAATTCAGGCGCGCTTGCTGCACAAACAAGGACTTGCGCTCTCGCCTAAGTAGTCTCGTCATGGCGATTCGGTGAGCAAGTGTTCGCGCTCCCGCCGCTCGAGAGTCGCGCTCACGCCCGAGACCTACTCGCCGCACGCCCGCGTGAGTGCTCTGTTGTTCTGGGCCCGAAGGTTAGGCCCCGTCCGACCCGCCCGCTTGGATGTCCTGCCCGACCCCGAGCCGTCCGCTATAGGGCCCGCCCGGTCGCCTGCGTGACGCCTCACCGGCGCGCTCTCGTGCCCGGCCGCCCGACCTGATGGGCAGGGCCCGCCCGTCCGAGACCGGCCTCCTGATTCGCTTGCCTTACCCAGTGGTTGGATGTGGGGTCGACGCGGGTCTGACGTGGGTTCAGCGCGGGCTTCGACGTGGATTCGACGCGGGGCGCGATAGCCAGGGGCAGCGTCGGGGGAGAGAGGCCAACGAGGCAACGCATCGACCGTGGCCCAGTGACCGCGGGCCCCCCGATAGCCCCCCGCTCCCGGGGCCGTGCGGTTTTTGCCCTCGGGGGCCAATCGCCTCGACCTTGTCGGCGATGCGTCGCCGGTTCAAGGGTTATGTTTCCCCCATCCGCTGCTCCCCCCTTGTACCCTTCCCCCTTCCAGTCAACCCGCACAGGAAGGATGGGCAACCTTTCCAAGGGTACCCTTGCACCCTTGCCTCCTCGGTCCATCCTTTGCCGCTTTCGCTGGCCGCGCCCCGCTCGAGAAGCTCCGAAATGGGCGTCCAAGGCACTTGCATCCTTGTCTCGCATGGGTAAGACCCGGGTTTGCCAGGAGGTTCGCCATATTTTTTTGACGACCGCGCCTCGGTTTTTGACGAGGAGGAGTTTCGTGGGATGTCTGCAGCGGGAGGCCTCGTCAAAATGCAGGCTCGGCCTCGTCATTTTTTTGACGACCTCGTCGGGGATTTCCGAGTCCCCTGTACCCAGGTCTTACGTCCCCCTGAGGGTACTATCCTGGTTGACTGCAGTGTTAGACAGGCGGAGGAGTGCCAGTTGAGACACCGGCGGCTCCCCCGCCCGGCCCATACGTCCGCTCGAGATCGGTATGCTCGGAGCCTCTCCCGGGGTTCGTCCTGCAGCCCACCTTGTCGAGGCGGATTCGGCCGTGGCGACGGGAAGCCTCCAGGAGGCTTAAACAGCTCCTCCTCCTCCTTGTCCTCCTGCCCGCCGTTGTTTCGAGTGTCCCCCCTCCGAGACAGGCGAAGTTGGGCGATCCAGGACCTGCGGTGCATATGCGTCGTGTCGACGCGGCGGCGAAGCGTGGGTGGGCGTTCAGGGTTGAACGCCGCCAATCGTAAGAGTTGGCCAACATGGAACGATCTGGCGACTGGAAAGACGCCGATCGCTCAAGGCTGGAGGCTCCATGCGGCGTCAGAGCTCTGGCGAGGAAGTCGTGACGGCACGAATGGCAAAGCTTCGGGTTGCGCACGTGCAGTCCCCCCAAGTCGGGCGAAAGGGGGGGTTTGGGAAAGGGGGGGTTACGAAATCTGCTGCATGCAGCTGGTTTCTGCCCCGCCGCCGGGCCCATTCCTCGATACATGGGCGCCTCCCGGCGCCAGGAGGCGCCGGTAAAATCAGCTACGTGAGCTGATTCTCAAACCCCCTCTTTGCTATCCCCCCCTTTCGCCCGGCCCGAAAGTGGTCATGGCTGGCTTCGGCAGGCTCCCGAGCAGCCCCAGCTGGCCTCAGCAGGCCTCGCGAGCAGTCCAGGGCGGTCCCAACGCCTCCGTGCCGCCTCCGACCGCGCCCCCGAGGCGCTCCGCGCCCCAGGGTTGGGTTTGTTGAGACCTCCCGGGGCCTCCTCCTCGTCGTCGTCGTCCTCCTCCTCCTCCTCTTCATCCTCCTCCTCCTCCTCCTCCTCCTCTTCCTCCTCCTCCTCCTCCTCCTCCTCCTCCTCCTCCTCCTCTTCCTCCTCCTCCTCTTCATCATGCCAATTCTTCCTCCTCCTCCTCCTCCTCTTCCTCCTCCTCCTCAGCCTTGTCGTCCTCCCGCAGCGGGTGCCCTGGACCGCCGACCTCGTGGCAGGCATCCTGCGGCGCATGCCGAAGAGGACAAAGCCTGGGCTCGACGGGTGGACCGTGAACGAAATTCCGCTCTCTCCCTGCGGAGTTGCACGGTTGGATCGCGGACCTCTCGGGGGACGTGGAGGCCATGGCGTTTGGCCCCACGAGTTCGCTGAGTCAGAGGGCCTCCTGCTCCCCAAGCCCGACGGCGGAGCTGGGCCTCTCGACCGGCGCCCCATTTGGCTGCTGCCAATCGTGCACCGCCTGTGGGCTGCTGGACGCGCGCGTTTCTTCGCGCAGTGGCGGCTGAGCTGGGACGGCGCTGCCGCGTTGCGCGGCTCGGAGGAGCTGGCCTGGGAGCTGGATTTGGAGCTCCAGGCAGCGTAGTCCCTGGCGCCGCCCTGGATTGGCGTAGAGCTTACAAGCACGTCGGTCTCCAATCCCTGTCGTCCATCCTGGGGGGCGCGCCGGAGTGCAGGGGTAGGTGGTTGCGCCAGCTATGGCGGCGTACACAGCGCAGCGGCGGGTCCCGGTCGGTAGGGCCATTCGCGATTCTTGGGCGCAGTCCAGCGGCACGTTGCCGGGGTGCCCATGTGCTGTGTTCTTCCTCAGCGTGCTCGTTTCGGCCCTAGCAGCGGCGCACTGGCGCACTCGACGACCGCCTCCAGCAGAGGGTGTACGTCGACGGATTTACTCTCTGGTCCCGCGGACCTGGCCACGAGGCGGTCGAAGTCGGCGAAGCTGTGCGCGAGTCATTTCGGCTGACGTCGCTGGTTGAGGTAGCCATGGGTTGGAGCCTTCACAGAAACAAGAGCTGGCAGTTCGCGAATTCGGCCAGTCTCCGCAGTTGGCTCCGCACGCAGACCCCCAGGGTCGCAGCTGACTGCGACATTCGCGATTTGGGGTAGTGCCCACCGCAGGGCGGGCAGGTCGCTGCGCGGTCACAGGCGCGCGAACTTGTGCATCGGCGGGGCGTTCCACCCGCATTGCTCGATTGCTGGTGCATTTCCGGCAGAGATGCCTCCTCGGCGCGGCGGCAGGCACACCCGCAGGCATGCACGGCGCTTCATGCAGCCGCCCCCCCAGCGTGCGAGCTGGCCAGCCTGCGGGCGGCCGCGCGCCAGGCAGTCTGCAGGCGTGGGCTGCGCGTTGCCGCCGAGGTGGTCATCGGCGTACTCAGCCCGAGCTGGCGCCTCGATCCAGCCGCGGTCGCCACCCTGGCTCCGCTGAGGCAAGTGGCCAAGGCGTTGCGCCGTGCGCGTTTCCCGCTTGCTCTCTGGCGCGAGGTGGCGGGCGCCGGGGACACTGGGCACGGGCGGCAGCATGGGCCCTTAGTTGCCGCCAGTCGCAGCGTGGCAGACCGCCTCGGAGGCGACATCACGTTCTGGTACGGCGTCCTTTGGGCCCTGGGCGGCTGGCGGCCGCAGCACCGCCCGCTGCGGGACATTCAAGGGGCGCTCCTGCACGCGCGGTCGCAGCGCGAGGCTCGCGAGGTGGCTGGGCGGCGCGCCGACCTCGGGCATGTCGGCGGCGGGATCGACCGCTGGGCCACCAGCCGCTTCTTCGAGAGCGAGGACCTGTCGCCGTACCTGTCCGGCGCATTGCGCGCGGTGCTCAGTGGAAACGATGACGCAGAGGCGGTGGCCGCGAAGTGGGGCCGGCCCGCGCGTTGCCCGCGCTGCGTCGCCGCGGCGGAAACCAAGGAACACCGCTTCCGGGAGTGCTCCCAGTGGGCAGCGGCTCGCCGCGCCGAGCTGCAGGCCTCAGGTCTGAGCCAGGAAGCCCTGCTCTTGCGCCTCCCAGATGGCGTTTCGCTGATTGGGATTCTGCCGCTGGACGCGCGCCTGGCCGCGTTTGCAGTGCAGGCCAAGCAGGAACTGCCGCCGCCCCCGATGCCGTCCCCGGCGGTTGGCCCCGGGCAAGCTCGGCTGCGGGCCTGGAGCGACGGGCCCTCTCCTGGCTCGGGCAGGGTGGGGTCTTTGCTGGAGAGGGCCCGAGGGTGCGCCGCGGCGCCGCAACGGGCCCGTGGGCGGGCCCCAGACAGCACAATGGGTCGAATTCACTGCGGCGGCGCAAGCGGTCAGCACGGTTGGAGCGTTCCTGGGGTTGGTCTCTGATTCGCGCTGCGTGCGCCACGGGGTCGCGGCCATGTGAGCCGGCGCCTCTCACGCCGAGTGGGCGCGCGCGGACTTGTGGGAGTTGCTGAGGCCGCGCGCGAGAGCGGCTTCATCGGGGCGCGCTGAGCCAAGGGACACCTCGACGCAGCCGCGGCGGCGGGCCGCGGGATCGCACCCGAGGATTGCGGCGGCAACGGGGGCCGCCGACCGGGTGGCGGGCGCGGCCGCGCGCGCCCGTTTGCCCGAGCGCGCGGTCTGCGTCGGGCGGCAGGTGCAGCTGCACGCGCTACGCACCCTGCAGCGGCTGCTGGCCGCCGTGGGCCGCGCTGCGCGCCAACCGCGTGGGCTGGCTTGGCCCCAGGGCGCGCAGGCGCCCACGGCTGGCGCGGGCTGCGCTGCCAACAGGCAGCGTGCGCAACGGCAGCAGTGGCAGCAGCCGTCGCCGGCGGCGGCCAGCGACCTTGGGCGATCGGCCAGAGTTGCTCGGCACGGTGCCGTCGAAACCGCCCGTGCCCTTTTCCGTGGCGGCGCGTGGGCACCGCGCGCGGCGTCGCAGGGTCCATGGGTCGCGTTCCTTTGCTGCGGCAGCGCAGCCCCGAATTGGCAGGCACTGGCGGCTCGGCCCTGCCCGGGGTGGTACCACGCTGTCGCCTCGGGTGGCGGCGCTCCTTCTGGTGTTGCCCGCGGCGCAGGCGGATTCGGTTCGCGCCACGCAGCCCAAGGCTTTGGCTGCCAGCCGTTTCGCCTTCCCCCTTTCTAGTATTTCGCCATATGAATTCCACTCTCCTCTCTCCCCTGGTGACGTCCGGGAAATGGCCGGCCCCCCTTTTTTCGTATCGGTTTTTTACGCACAAGGTTCCCGGGAAATTGGTTTTCGCTTGGTTGTTGTTTCAACATGTTTCTCCCGGTGTGGCGCTGGCCTCGTTTCCGCGCTTCCGCTCGTTGCGAATCGTGCTCCTGCGTTGGCGTCATTATTTCCAACGCCATGCGACGGCATGTTTTTCGGTCCTTCAAAAGGGCCCAACATCTAAATCATGTTCCCCCGAAAACGCAATCGGCAGTGATTACACATTCGGTGCCGATTCGTTGTTTTTTGGAGTCGCAGAAGCCCTCCTCCCACTTTGTGGCGTCGACACGCCATGCTATTATATCAAGTTCCGCGCCCTCCGAATCGTGATTCCGCTGCAACGCTGGCCTCATTTCCGCGCTTCCGCTCGTTCCGAATCGTGCTCCCGCTGCAGCGTTGGCGTCATGATTTCCAGTTCCATCCACGGTCCGGTCCCCGTCCTTTCACATAGGCCCTAATATTTGGAAAAGTGTTTCCCGAAGAAACCATCGGAAGTGATTACACATGAGGTGTCGATTCGTTGATTTCTTGGGCCGCGGAAGCCCCCCCCCACACCTCGGGGCGTCGGCACGCAATGCTATGTCATGCTACGCGTTGATCATCAACACCATGTTACGCCATGCTACGGCATTCGATTGTGCGATAAGGAAAAAGATGGGAGGGAGGGGTTGAACGTCAGATATGACGCGAGCGCACCTAGTTTGCCCGGCTTCCTCCCCCCTCTTCCCCATCCTCACCGCGTTTCGCCACGGGGTCGGGTTGCGCTGGTAAGAAGTGTTGAGACCCCCGTGGCCTATTCCAGGGGCCTGTTGAGTCCAGCTTGGAGTACTCGGGGGACCTGGTAATGGCGGCAAAAATTACGTGTGGGGGCTGTTTGCGCGCTACCCGATTGGTCACCCGGCGTCGTAAATGCCCATGCGCCGCGTGCGTGACGCTCGCACGCACCGCGAGACGCCGAGTCGCCCCCCCCCCCCCCCCCCGCGCGGCCCTCAGAATTCCGCGGCACGCGGACCACCGCCCCCGTGCTCACCGGCGGGACGCAGGTGGAGGTGGTCGCCGCGAGCCAAGGGGGGCTCCGACTCGAGCCTCTCACACGTCGTGGCACCGTACCCAGAGATCCAACGTTTAAACAAATCAAGACGGAGGTTTTTCACAAAATTTGGCCCCTAGGGGCCCTCGCTGGGCCTCGGGACCGTCAAAAAATGACTCAAGATGGAAAACCGGTCCTGGGGAAGGGGTCGAGACTTCCGGGGACCCCGTACTGAAAAAATCACGACGTCGGATCCCAGGGTAGGACAGAAAACGGGGCAACGCTTCGGGGACAGGCTCAGTCGGAGGCGCATCGACCCCCAAGCGCTTGGAAGCCCCTCGCGGCGCCTCCGGCGCCGGCCCCGTCACGTACTGCGCGCAAGGGAGGGGGGCCCACGGCCGATCCCAGGAATCCGCGCGGACCTTTGAGAAGGTATGTTTGTGTCACCACCCACCAAACCACCACAACCCGACCCGAAGGCTCAGATTTACCCTCGATTTCCAGTGGGGGGGGGTCGGGAAACATCGAAAAAACACATGTGGAACCCTTACCAACCCGAAATTCGGGTCTTCGGGTTGGGTTGGGGTGGTCTGGTAGGTAGTCATTGTGCAGTTTGAGTTTCTCCTCCATGCTCCAAGGGGGGGTCCTCTGATCCAGGCCCGGAAGATGTCGGAACACGCAGGTCTCGAGTTCGCCGGAGCTCGGGTTTCTTGCCGACGCTTTTGGACGGACCACTGCTGGAGTTAGTCGGTACGACTTTACTGGGTCCGTTGCAGTCGGATCTCGCGTCGCGTTAAATTTCAGCTTGGGTATCGTCACTTTCTTCTCTTGACGATCCCTTCAGGCCAACCCGAGTCCCCCGAACTCGAGTCCCACGTCTCCCCGACAAGTCGGTCCAAGCATATGGGGTGCCGATGCGTCGATGATGCGGCTCGATGTGGAGCCCACTTTCTCCACACCAACGGCGCCGAAGCATCGGCGATGCGGCGCGGCCCTTTCCGTCCCCATTTACACGGACCCTGTTTGGGAGGCCTCCGTTTGAGTCGAACGACAAGCGTTCGAAGGTCCGCGCGCAGCCTTTGGATTTGCGCTGGACCCCCTCTCTCGGCGCCTCCATCGCCGATCCACCACATCCGCGCAGACTTTCGACGGTTTGTGTTACAGCTGTGTTCTCTTCGTCCCTTGAGCGACGGGGTCCTGAGGGAAGCCGTTCCTGAGTCTTGTTTGCAATTTTCAGGTTCTTGGGGCCCTCCCCTGAACCCCAGGACCCTCGTACAACGATTCAGGACTAAGAGTTGGTTCTGGGGAAACCATTGTAGGTCCTTAGCCCGTTTCTCTCAGGACCCGTTTATTTCATGGCCTGACAGGTTCACAGGCTTTCACAGGCCTCCACAGTTTCCTTCCTGGGTTCCAAGGCCTTCACAGAAGTCCCGACGGCTGTCCGCACGACTCCAGGGGGAAGTTCCAATACCAAGGCCCGACGACGTTCTGAAGTTTTTTCCTCCGTGCCACGGAACAGACACGAACGCAGAAAGGCAGAGAAACGCACTGCACTCCAGCGTGTGTTTGCCCGTCGGCAAGACGACCGATCGGAGGTAGCATGCTAGCACTGTGTGCAAGCTGAGCAACACCGACGCCGACGCTCTGAGGAGATCACATTTGTTTGGCCCCCGCGGGGCGCTCTTCGGGCCTAGTGGCCCAACAGTGTGGTCCCAGGGACGGGATCGCGGGACCCCGGGTTGCCATCACTTGGTGTTGGGACAAGGTGTGTTGGCCCTTGCGGCCTCTCTAGAAGGTCAGGGGTGGGCCTAAACGGTGGGCCGTTTTCGTTTCGATTTCGTTTCGCGTTGAAAGGCGGATTGAAGACAAAACGAGTGAGAACAAAAACAAAACGAAAACGAAAAATCTCGTGTAGGTTCAGCCCTGCTAGAAGGCCGTGCGGATTGCCAGTTGCAGGGCTCCGGGTACAATCGAGGCCGCCCAGATGGGGTCGCAGTAGTTATATGTCTGCGACCGCCGGCGAGCCCCGCCTTTACCCTTGCGGGTCCAATCGACGCTGGAGTACCAGACACCCCTGCTGGATTTCAGCTGGCTGCAGACATCCTCCAAATTCTGAGCCCCCGGTTTTTTCTTTCGTTTTGCAGATCTGAATTGCCGTGGTAGGGTTCACATGTGGTGGCCTAAGATGGGGCCGCCGGTTGGTGCCGCATCGCCGATTCATTGGCGACGTGGCGCGACCCGACACCCGATCTCCTCCGTTCCGGCGTCCGTGACGGCGTCGGCGACGCGGTGAGATTTTCCGACCCAATTTGTTCCAGCCCAAGTTCATGCGTAACGTGATCGGGGGATGGGTTCAGGGAGGCATTCGACTCCAAATCGCCCCCAGATGTCCGATAGGGGCCTCATAGCCCAACCCGCCCATGAACGTGCAGTTGTGCAGTCGGGGGCCTACTACCGATGTATTCCTGATTCCAGCTCGATGCTTCCTCCCCTGAGCTGGCTCCCACCCCTATCGTCCCCCATTACATCTGCTCCAGCCCAAGACGGGTGGCCCCTGTGAATGGCTCCAGGGATGCGCCACCTGGGCCCAGGGCATCGTCCCCCCAGGATCCCTTTTCTCACGCTGCATCTCCGGGGGATCCTGTCTGTCCTTGGAATCGATGTTTGCCCTCTTGACCGACGAAGGTTCGATGCTGATTCGACGCAGATCTGACGCGGGACCGACGCGGATCTGACGTGGATCCGACGCGGATAGCGGCGCGACAGGACACACAAGGCCCCCAGAAGATGCAACATTGCATAACCCCTTGGCTCGTGGCAAGAGGTGGAGAACTCGGAGGGGCTCTCCGCGGGCAAGGGCCCCAGATGCTCCGGCGCCTGGCCGACCAGCGGCCTCTGTCGCGCCCTCTTGCGGGCCGGGGCCCGTCTCGAGGAGAAGGAGGAAGAGGAGGGGAAGGAGGAGGAGGAGGAGGAGGAGGACCAGTGTAAAGCCAAGAGTCACCAATGATGTTGGAATAGACCCTCCCCCAAAGCTCCTTCTTAGGCCTCTGCGATCTACAACGGTTCATGTCCTGCTTCGTTGGAAGGCAACCGTTTGAAGACCCTGAAGCGTGCTAAAATATGATTCTCGGTATTCCAACGCCACGGATGAACTTGACTGTTGCGTCTTGACGACCCTGAATCGTGCCAGAACGCCATTCTTCGGACCTCAACTCTGAGAATTATCGTAACTGTTGCGCCCTCAAACATCATACACCATATCTGGTACGTCGACAATGGGAACGCGTGAAACTCAGGCATTTTTCAGTAAGAATGCGCGCGGCGCTAAGGCGAGAGCCACGTTTTGAAAAGGAACCGCCCTCAACCCGTGAAACTCTTGCAAATGTTTAAAACAAGTGTGCGCGGCGTCAAGGCGAGAGCCACATTTTGAAAAGGAACCGCACTCAACCCGTGAAACTCTTGCGAATGTTTAAAACAAGTTTGCGCGGCGCTAAGGCGAGAGCCACATTTTGAAAAGGACCCGCCCTCAATCCGTGAAACTTTGTAACTTTTTAAACGAATGTGCGCGGCGCGAAGGCCAGAGCCACAGTTTGAAAACGGCCGGCCCTCAATGCGTGAAACTGTCTGTACATGTTTAAAACGAAGGTGCGCGGCGCTAAGGCGAGAGCCACAGTTTGAAAACGGCCCGCCCTCAATCCGTGAATTTCTTGGTAAGTTTTCAAGCGAATGCACGCGGCGCTAAGGCGGGAGCCACATTTTGAAAACGACCCGCCCTCCATCTGTGAAAATGTTGCCAATGTTTAAGCTTCAGGGTCATAGATGATGAGGAAGTCTCAGGCGAAACGCCCAGCCCGCCCTCACAACTGGCCTCGGGCAGCGACAGGAAGAAATTATTTATAAGGAGAAGGATCTGAGGAGGAGGACGAGGAGGACGAGGAGGACAAGGAGGACGAGGAGGACGAGGAGGATGGGGAGGAGGGGGAGGAGGGGGAGGAGGATGAGGAGGAGGAGGAGGAGGAGGACGAGGAAGAGGAGGAGGAGGAGGAGGGGGGAGGAGTTGAGAGGAGGGAGGAGTAGAGAAAAGGCTGGGTGAGGAGAAGGGGGGAAGAGGAGGAAAAGGGATCGAGGACGACAGGCACGGAGGAGAGAGAGGAAGAGGAGCGAACAATAGGACGGAGGAGGAGAAGGAGGGAGGAGGAGAGGGACAAACAGTAAGGAATAGGGATCAGGAGGAGGAAGAGGAGAGAGGAGAGATAATTCGAAGCGAGGATTGTAGATGTGTGCGCAATCTGCCTACAATGAGAGGCAAACCATTCCTACCACCGGCATAGCGAGCAACCTGCCGCAGGCATGTCCCGCCTGCCATTGAGAATGAAAGCCGCGTCTCGCGGCACGTCTGGAAACGAAAGCAGCCCTCAGAACTCATGTTCTGGCGGAGCGGTTCCGGAACATGCATTGGGCCCTTGCCTCATAGCCTGCGTATGCACACATTCTGCTTCGCACGCTTTTTCGCTGTGCAAGGCCTCGCTGTGCAAGGCCTCCAGCACTGCCCGCGGCGGCTCTTCCCGCTGCGGATAAAGTCCTTTCCTGATTCGGGACAATTTTTCCCGTCTTTTGCGACTCGGATCGTCGCAGGCCTCATGCACATGCCCGACGTCCGTCGTCGCGTACAGGCCGCAATGCGTGCAAAAATAGATTCGAGATCTAACGAAGACAGCCGCGCGATGGGACAGCAGGCAAGGTGCACCGAATACAGACCATAACGGAGGAAACACACATGCATGCACAACATGTGTATGATGGTTTTTATTGCGGCGCTTCTGCCCCCGCCCCTGGCATCGGGGGCGCGCCAAGAAGCGGGATGCAGTCCGTCCCCAATAAAGTTGTGCGAAAATATTTCTTTTGCAAAGAACTCGTTTACTTCTGGTTGGCCAGGGAGGTTCTCACACCATCGTGCCCGGGCCGGGGGCAAGAGGCTCTTAGAGGCCTCTTGAGATGGATGCCTCTCGGGGGTCTTGTAAG